AATAATCACACCCGCTAGTTAAACATAATTCCACTTTTTTTAAACTAGTCATTTTTAAATAGCTCTGACATATTTTCATGCATAATGTAAAACTATAGTATAAATGTCATTCTTGCTCTTTCCTTTTTCATGTGTTTTTTTTTGTTTTGATTCACAAAAACTGCTGCTTATCCCTGCTAGACTAAAACATGGATTGACAAAAACATTTTTTCTGGAAGGATTAGAAAGAATTACAGGAGAGCCATATGGGATATTGGCCTTTAGTTTTTTTATGGGTAGGGCTTGTGGTTCTGATTTTGGGAGTTCATCAGTTCTAATGTCTAATGCTTAAGTATCTCATGAAATATTTTAATTACCCTGCTTTCTGGGTACTGTATATATTTAGCACATCTGCCTGCCAGGTAGTTTAAAAATGCAACAGTGTGGATGTCATTTTGCTAATGCTTTAGTTATTCCACAATATGTCCAGAATATTTAAGTATTTTCCTTAATTATTTAATAAAAACATAATCCTTCAGTGTAAGGTCTATCTAAAATTGCATTAATCATTTTACCCAGAGCCTAATAACATATATTACTGTTGTCATTATTCTTAAATTTCATAATCTAATTGTCATAATCTAATTTAACTGTAATGTTTTTAATTGATTATTTCATATTAGAATGAAACCTACAATCTTTAAAGTCTGGTAATATCACAGTTTTATTGCAAGTGAAATTGTATTATAAAACCTAAAAAATCTGTTCTGCCAGGAGAGATGTCTTATCATGGTACTTTGCTTTTATATCTAAGGTTACATATATTTTTAGTCTTTTTTAGTTTTATCTATTGGAACACCAGTCTTTTCAAGCAGGCATTTACCCTTTTAATCTTGTAATTCTGGGAAAAACACAACCAGTACTTGTAAAAGGAATCTGGTTGAACTCACAAGATCAAACTTATACAGTAACTTTGTAAGAAGTCATCTTACAGTCGATGGAGTTTATAGTTCTATATAAGGTCCTAGGTGTAATTATAGTCAATTCATCTACAGGGGTTAGGAGCGTGTTACATTTTGAGCAAAGTTAGTTTGTAAGAGCAGGCTAAGAACAGAAAAATTGACTTGCATTTAGTTTAATTCACAGAGAGTTAGTTTACTTTACTGTGATGGAGCTGGAAACTTTTTGGTGGATGGTGTGTTCCAGGGAAAGCCCTCAGATTAACAGATCAAGTATGGACAAGTGATGTAAGGGGTTTGCTTTGCAGGAATAAGTCTGTTTCTCTTCCGGTGTGGCTGGAACCATGTTCAGCAGGCATTCAATCACAGGATTAGAACCATCGCTGACAATACAGGTGTAGCGGCGAGGCTTATTAATAAGAAAGAATTAAGTGTTCTGAGCTTTCCCAAAGGAGGCCCCATCTCACCCTCCATCTCTGCGGTGCAGCCACAGAGAAAGTATTCATGCAGGCTGATTTAAGATGTTTTCTTTTGATAAGGAACAAGCTCCCAAAGGGGGATGCACTTAGCTAAGCCTGGCTATCATGATCAATGGTCATCCATTGGCGCTTATCTGTCTAGGGAGTGCCAGATGGACATCTGGACTGCATTCCTAAGTGTCAGGAGTAAGTATCTCTCCTTGATCAACCAATCAGGGACTGGTAGGGCCGAGTAACCCACGTGGGACTCTGATGCCCATGGAACTTTCAGCCAATGAACGAGCTGAAGTTCCTCCAGGTAAAAACAGGCAACACAGAGGGCCTGTGAGATTCAAGAGATTCCTGAGAAAATTCTGTGGACTTTTCTAAAGGGAATTCAAAGGAAAATTCCAGGGCAGGACGGCCCAGGAGCAGAAGGCTCCCAAGGGCAGGACATTCTCGCAGCGCGCCTCCTGACCATTCTGAGACTCAGCCCGGACAACCACGGAACGGCCAAGTGTCCGATTGCCAGAACTTTCCTTTGTTCTAAGAGTCTAGAGCGGATGTTGCCAGAGAGTAACCAGAGGATCCACCCGAGGTTAGCAAGCCTTGTGAACAGGTCGGAACTGTGGACAGCTGAATCACTATTCAGAACTAGCTCTTCATCAGGAACGAACCGGTCCTCTTCCTGACTTGCTGGGACCCACAGTCATCTTTTCTCCTGTGCACAAACTTTGCTAGTTAAAGCCAACACTAACTAGCCGGTCAGTGAGCATCAGCAGCACACCGTCGCAAACCGCACAGCACAGCCTGGCACCTAGCCAGACAGCGCGGATTGGACAGCAACAGCCTGCAACTGTTTCTTTGTGCCCACAGAAGATCTGAATCCCCAGAGATTGGATGAGTATTCAACTTCAATGCATTATAGCTCGAGAATTCAATTGTTATCCCAACCAGTTGATATCAATTTAATTCTTAAGAGTTATGTACTTGTTTTGAGTATCTAATGTAGAAGTTATAACCAAGTTCATTTACGAAACAGTCTAAATGAATGATAAACTGAACGTATGTCCTCTTGATATATGTAACTCTTTGTAACTGACTGAATATATACCTTTTGTATTCTGATAACCGTCTCGATAAGATCTGTTAGGTTTACATGCATATTCTATGTATTAATAAATGTATCCTCGTGTATTAGTACCTGTGTGTGTGCGTTGTTTGAGTAATATCGCATGGTTGGATTCTAAAGCCATCAAAAGAATCAATTTTGTGATTTAGTGCTACAATTAATAATTGTCCCAGTAAATGCCCAAACCCAACAGAACTGGTGCCTTCAGAGAGCACACTACACAGGATATATAGGACTTTGGTAGAATCATCTGCTGTACAGTGATTTAGCCTTTTATGGCATGAGCTCTTTTTAAGAGTAATAAAAAATAAGAAATGCTAATATATTGTAAAAAGACTCCTTGGAAAAGTAAAAGCTCACAAAATGTGTAATTGTACAATAGTTACAGGCATCTTTGACTTGACAAGTTAAATTGACTCTTTTGATGATATAAGGTTATAAAATTATTGTTTTATACATGGTGTGGATATATAGTTTTACTGGATACATAGTGTATTTATTTTTATTTATTTTTCAAAATGATGAGTAAGACATTACATAGAATAACGATTCAGTTACTGACAGTCACTCAGAAATTCAATGACAAAAACATTCTATTTACATGTGATGAAAGTGAAATACTTTTTTATTCACAGAAAGGAAAACTTTGCAGAGTGTGCACCTTGTTTGTGACCAAGATTTATTTTTTTATTAGCATACACGTCACATATGACTTTTTTTTTAGGTGAGCTCTGGCCAGTACCCACCATAATTCTTTTGACATTACTTTGTAGCCCCACCAGGCCCGAATTCCAATTCCAAAGTTCACTGATTTTTTACATGCAGTAACTTACAAGTGTTAACAGACTATAAGAGTTAGAGGAAAGAAACTCAGGGTACTAAAAATAGCTACACATTTATAGGTTAATGTTTGATGATTCCAAGGTCATGTTATAACACACTTCATATACCACATTATCAAATGAAAAGACTATACATAAGGTACACCTTTCTGCATAGTTCTTATTGAAGTTATTCATGCTAGCAGTTTCTTCGTATTAATGTTATCAAAGTATCCACATCTATTAAGAAGAGAATGTTTTTTTTAAAACAAGAAAAATGCTTTTTCAACAAATGGAGTGGTTTCAATAGAGTGGTCCAATGGAGTGGAGTAGTTTCAACAAAAGTCCTCATTTTAAATACATGATACTTGTCTCCAGCACCTACTGTAAAGGAATTACCATTTACCAATTCTCGATAAGGTAGATACAGTAATTGGTTGGTTGCGCCTTTTCTGTAGACAATTATCAGACCTTAACCTTTCTCCCTTCTACTGCAAGCTGTTTTAAAGCCTACTACTTTACAATACAACAAACCATTTTCAGTTTCTCTTGAACCAAATCTCTCGTGAGCTGGTATGTTTTCTCTCCTTTTCATTACTGTAAGTCTCATAATCTGTGTTATACATCAGAAACTGCTAGACCTGCCCAAAACTAAAGTATATATTTGATAGCAATGAACATTACCATATATTTTTTATTTGTGTCATGATTTTGTATTATTTATATTTTTGTATATGAAGGTCCTAGTTAGGTACTCTGATTACTGAGAGTTTTCTTGTCCCAATCAGGGTCTATCCTGCCTTGAGTCCAGTGCTTTCAGTGATAGGTTTGGGACCACTGTTACCCTGAATTAGATAAGCAGTAATTGAATGTGGTGTGATGTAAGTCTTTGAGTCCTTACTAGTGCATTATACAATTTTAATATAGCATCCCTTCACATACATTTTGGCTCAGTTTAACTGTGTATTCTGACATTTTGTTTGCCTTTTTTATTTCTCATATTGTGTTGAAGATCTATACAACTTATCATCATAAACTTCAATCTTTTTAATAAGTGGCCACTTCAAGCTCAGCATTTCCCATTTTATATTTCTAGTTTTGTTTTAATATCCACCTGCAAAACCCTTTGCTGGTCACACTAAATGTCATCTGACAGGTGTTTGCCCAATCTAATTTTTTTTCTATTTTTAATTTGCTGCTTCCACAGTTTTTGCTAATCATTCTATTTTGTTATCAAATGCAAACTTTTAATTTAGCTTCCACATTTTGCGTCATCAAAAATGAAACATTAAATTTCTTCCATGTGCACGAAATAATTTTTCAATTTGTTTTGTTTATTTCCTCTTAATATATTAGCATTGCAAAATTGCAAATTTCTGCACAAGATGTTTGAACCTCTTCCAATGAATTTGGAGATAAATGAGCAGCAGCTGTTGTCCCAAAGACATCTTGGTAATAGGCTGTGTTTTCACATTCTCACCAGGGTCTTGGTGTTAAGTTAGAATTGGTCTTTCTAATCAACTACTCACCAGCAAGCCCAGTAAGGGAAAATCAAGGCATGAAAACTTTTTCTAGTTCACAGACATTTGTAGTGTACCATCTGTCCCACATTTATTTTGACACTAATTCTTCTGGTTTGGTTTTGTTTCAGGTAATTAAAGACCCACCACCACCTCCACCAGCACCTCCTAAACCAGTAAGTATACATTGTCTTCTTGCTGAAACTATCTGTAAATTTGGCTTTAGCTTCAGACAGAAATCAATATTTTTGGATGGCTTGATTTATTTTCTTTGTGTTTTAGAAAGTCTCTATTCATGTTTCTCAATTCACATTACGGTGGGATTTATAAAAGCTCAAAGAGAAACTCAAAAAACTTTTTTTTATTAATTCCATAAAACACTATTTCATCTTTGATTTCTGCAAACTTTTTAAAAAATCATTGTTTCTATCCTATGGAAATTTTCATTTTGACACTCATTCTAATTTTATGCACTACTTTATAAGGCACCAAAATAAGGTGAAATGTATTTTTGGCACTTTTAGAAAATGGCTTCTAAAGAAGATGGTTTAGTGGATTATTAAATCTGTAAGAATCATTTATATTGTGAGGATATCCCAATATCACCTGTTACCCAGTGTTATTACCTCTGCATAGATATCTTTTCAAAATTCCAGAAGTTGGTCACTTTTCACTCTGTAGGGGGTCCCAGCCTTCTCAAAGGATGGAAGGGGTAATAAGGGGATTCAAACAGGATATAAACTCATTTTTAGTTTGGTTTCATGACATCACTAGCCTTAAGTCTTTGTTGTCAATAAAACAACTGATAGGCCAGTTAGAAAAACAAACTGAATGCTCTTTTCAAACACTGAAGTTTCCTCTAGTGACTGTGGAGCTTACAGCTCTCACCTACTTGCCCCTCATTACGGATCTGTGTGCTATGCCCAAAATCAGGACATTTTGCTGACTTTATAAAGCTAGCTCATCCAACACAGTGCATTGTAGATATAAATTGAATTTTAATAAAAATATGTTCTTTGTGTATTACCTGATGCAGTACAGAAGCAGCCATTAAAAATGGGTGGGGTATTTCACGGTATACCCCGTAGGGCGTGTCACATCAAAACGCAGTATCACGCAGTATCACGCGGTGTATCGCGTCATTTGATGTCATGCCGGAAAGTATCCGGAATCACCTTGTAAAACCGCCAGGTGGAGCTAATAAAGCTTAACCTCTCATGTACAGCATTTGAGCTTTTAAATTTAAACTGTGTATTACAGCATGTTAATCATCAGTCATTAAAAAGTTGGTATATTTTATG